TGATTCACACACTAATGAAGATGAGACTATTTCTAATGAGGTGGAGCATGATAGTGTAGAATCACATGTTGAAAATGATTTGCATGACTATCAACTTGCTAGGGATAGAAATAGAAGAACCATTAGCAAACCTGCGAGATATGTTGATGACTGTAATATGTCTGAGTTTGCTTTTCATGTGTTTGAATCCCTTGAGTGTGATGAACCTAAGACTTATCGTGAAGCATTAGAATCTAAATGTTCTAAAAAATGGGTTAGTGCTATGAAATGTGAGATGGAATCCCTTCGTGTTAACCAAACGTGGAAACTTGTGCCAAAACCTGAAAACTGTTCTCTTGTGGACTGTAAGTGGTTGTTTAAAATTAAGCAAGAACTTGAAAATGTTAGGTTTAAGGCTAGACTTGTGGCTAAGGGATTTACTCAAAAGGAGGGAATAGAAAAAACGACCCGACCTGTTTTTGACCCGAAACCCGACCCGAAAATACTGGGTTTTGAACAAAGGTTTTGCTGACCGAACCCGAAGTTGACCGAACCCAAAATGACCCGCTAAAAATGGGTCAAACCCGACCGAACCCGAACCCGACCTGACTGACCCGCTAATCTATGATTTTTTCATAATCATACATTTTAATATGAAATATAGTGTTATAAAAATAAGATTATAATTATATTCCTTTGCTTACTACTCATTTTTTGTGTATAGATTTATATCATCATAAAAAATTTTAATGATGTCGCATAATTATCGTACATTTTTTCAAAATTTCTACATATATAATTTTTTTATTCGTTATATTGACACTAAGTCCTAAAAATTACTTAAAATTTCAAAAAAAATAAATGAAACTCATAACCCGTTGGGTCAATCCGAACCCGATGACCATGGGTCATGAACATGTAGTTATCAACCCGAACCCGAACTTATCCGAACCCGAAGTAACCCGAACCCAAGATGACCGAACCCGAACCCGACCTGATCGACCGATTTGCCAGTTCTAGTTTTAAGAGAAGTAATGCTGATCACTGCTTGTACTTCAAGAACACTTTCTCTGTTCCCGTTTTTCTTCTCCTTTATGTGGATGATATGCTAATCATTAGTCCTAGCTTAAAGTCTATTGAGCATGTTCAAAATTATCTTTGCAAAAATTTTGACATGAAAGATTTAGGAGATGCTAGAAAAATTCTTGACATGAATATTGTTAGGGACAGAAAGAAATCTACTCTTGTTTTAAATCAAAATTCCTACATTGATAAGATTTTGAGTAAATTTGCTATGTCTGATGCTAAACCTGTGGATGTTCCTTTAGCTGCTCACTTTGTGTTGAGTAAGGATATGTGCCCTAAAACTAAAGCCGAAATTAATGAAATGGAAAGTGTGCCTTATTTGAATGCTATTGGTTCTGTAATGTATCTTATGATTAGCACTAGGCCTGATATTGCATATGCTGTTAGTTGTTTGAGTAGATACATGTCTAATCCTGGTATGGCTCATTGGAATGCTCTAAAATGGCTTTTGAGATACTTAAAATCTACTAGGAATGTTGGTTTAACTTTTTCAAGAAGTGATAAAAGTGTTAAATTGATTGGCTATGTGGATTCTAACTATGCAAACGATAGGGATAATAGAAAATCCACTACTTCCTACGTGTTCACTTTGTGTGGTTCTTGTATTAGTTGGAAATCTCAACTTCAACATATTGTTGCCTTATCTACTACTGAGGCTGAGTATGTTGCAGCCACAGATGCTTTTAAAAAAGCCATTTGGCTTAAAGGTCTTTTATCTGAAATATGCTTGCTCGATAAGAATGTGGTTGTTTTTTCTGATAGTCAATCTGCCATTCAACTATGCAAAAATCCTGTTTTTCATGATAGAACAAAACATATTGATGTTAGGTTTCATTTTATTAGAGACATAGTTGAAAAGGGCATTGTCATGCTGGAGAAAATTCCTACAGAATCTAATCCAGCTGACATGGGTACTAAGTGTTTACCTGTTGAAAAATTTACCTTATGTCAAAAGATTTTAAGCCTATCTCTGTGATTGTGTGCTGATCTTTTGTTCTTTTTTTTTTAGTCTTTGTGACTTTTGCTTTTCTTTTGTTTTTTGAACTCGATGACCCAATGGTAGAGTTCGACTCTTTGTGAGTTATTTTTTGGCATGCTTTGTGATGTTGCCTAGTCTTCGTGACCTGAGAGTACTTAGTGAACTCTCCACCACTACGTGTGTTGTCATTTGTTGATTACACATTTAGTGGTTATTAGGCTATGATGAGTCCCGCGGTTCTTTGTCAAACTATGTGCACTACTTTGGGCCAAAGGTGGAGATTGTTAATTTATTTGGGGTTGGCCCAAACATATTAATAATATTTGACACCCAACCCAGCAGCCCATTTCTCTTAGCCCATCTCTTTATTCCTAACCTAATTAAGCTTACCTTAATTAGCTCCTAAATCTCTACTATAAATTGAGGCTTCCCCTTTGTGTTTCTACACCGTGAAAACATCCCTCTCTTTGTGAGTTCTTTGTGTGATATTTCTCTTCCTCTGTGAGTTCATCTCAGTTCTTCTCCGTTTCTTTGTGAGTGGAGTGTGGCGAGGTTGGGTTGGGGTGTTGCTCCTTTTGGTACCCTCGTAGTGCACAACTACAGACCGAATTTTACGGGTGACCTGAGCCTAATCGGAATAAATAAATACACACAACATCAAGTATAAAGTTAATAATGTATAAAAAGTTATAAATTAATTTGAAACTCGTATGGAATGTCACATGTATATTACGAAGCCAAGTGGAAGGCTGCATGTGTACTCACCGGCGCATTTTCAAAATTCCGGCAAGAGGTATCCTTTTGTTACATATTTTAAACATGGAGTACATTTTTGTTATAAAGTGAAGATGAGATACTTTTTTGTTACAAGACCCAAAGTTGGGATACCTCCCAAAAAACCAAGGATCGACACATGTTTATGTGAGGGGCAAAATTGCAAAATAAAATATCGATTCTTATTTTCTTAATGGGAATTTACCTATACAATACTAAAAATAGTGAGTTTCTTAAGTGAGTTTCAATGTTCACTGTCACTGGATAGTGTTCCCGCGACTAGATGTTGTTGAAAAAACATGTGTTTTACTACTATTTAGTATAAATTTCACTGTTAGAAATGCAAGACTAAAATGTTGAGTATGGAATAAGTGCAATATCTCATCCAACTAGAAGTAACATTGAGTCTAAGTGCTTTTTCAAAATAAATTTATTTGTAAGGATAACTTTAACAAAAAATATTTTACAATGACCAGAAAACAAAACTCATCTATTTTACCGAGATCAAAAATATATGTACCACTTTTAAAAATTACTCTAAATTTAGAAGATTGGTAATATCAAAATACTTTCCATTTAACAGTTATATAATTAATAAAAAAATTTACAATAGACTATCGAAGGAATAAATCTTAATTATAAAGTTAACTTTTTACTAATTTAAGACTGATTTAGAAAAAATACTTTATTTAAAAAACTGTTTTGAAAATTCACTAGAAAAAAAAATCCATATCAATCTTTTCAATCACCCTCCCTCTTTTTAGGAAAAAGAACAAAAGATCGGACGGGACTCGGGAGTAATGTTTGGTCCCTTGCTGACCATTCCAATTGGGTCTGGGGAAACTGGTGACCTTTTGGTCACTTTCTACTCCCGTAACTTTTTACCCCAATTACCCCCTCCATAAGCATAGTCCATACCTCCCTCCCTCCATACTCCTACTTCTACCTATCCAAGTAATTAAGTTTTTGTGGGTGAATATTGTGCAGTTGGCAAGACAAGGGGGTGCCAAAGAAATAAGATCCGAGTTCGATCACTGACAACTGCGCTGGGGGCAATTATGCTAAGTTTAGAACCTCTGCAAGTATCAGATGCAGATTCCACTATTTGCCACCAATCTACAATTAAAGTTTAATTTAATATACTACCTTTGTTCTAAAGTATTTATCCAATTTTAACTTTTTCCAGTCATTCATTTTTTAATCTTTGACCTATAATTGAATAAAATATATATTATATTTTATTTAGATAAAATAATATTTTGAAAATATTTTATAAAATAAATCTAAATAAACTATTTTGTATCAATATCTAATATCATTTTTTATTTAACTTGGAGTCAAAGTTACCAATTTCGACCAAAAAATTCAAAAGTAGACAAATACTACGAGACGGGGGTAATTATTATTAAGAAGTCTTTAATTTTTTTGATTATTGTGTAATTAATGGTTAATGTGTACTATTTTATTCTAACATGGTCCACATAGTTTTGAATGTTTTTTGAGAGGGAGAAGTCCAAGGAAAGTCTGTCAATACAAATGGCTTCACATTTACGGGCATGTAAAATTGAACAGAGGGTTACAGTACAGTCTTGTATGCCGCGAATAAAGCTGTCCTTTCTTTTGACCGTTGTATAAATAAAATTGAATCTTATTCAAATTCACTGTAACGGCTACTCCCAATTTGGCCTCATGTTAAAAAGTTAAAAAAATGCGTAATTAAATTTCTCTAGATCTTTTTTTAAAAATGTTTAGATACAGATAAATATCTTAACGAAAGTTCATGATTTGATTTACGCTATTTGATTTTAAATTACAGTAAAAATTTAAAAACTAATTTTTTTATATTTTAAAATTAAACACAGTATCAAAATTTCTAAAAAAAAATTAAAGAAAATGCGACTATTTTTCATACTAAAGAATACTTTATTTGTGGTCTTACTCCCCTTCATTAATTTCTTTCTCTCTTTCATTTTGGACCGTCCAAATTTTTTTTTCTCGTTTCCTAATTTAGCAAAAGATGTTTAATGAATGTGTCATTATACCCATATTTTTTTATCTACACTATTTACTTTATTCCATCACATCAAAAATAAACATGAAAAGTTTTACACTTTTTAACTTTTTTAATCTTTGTACCAAGTCAAAACATGAAAGAAATTTTTAGACGGGGAGTACTATTTAACATAATTGGATAGGAGTCTTTTTTCACACAGTGTATATATGTGTAATTTTTTCAACATGGAGTTTAAAAATCTAATTGATATGTTTTTGCTGTAATTAAGTAAAAGTTTGGTTTCTTTTTTCCCATCAATTCATTTCTAACATTTTTCAAACAGTTTCTTTTCACAAAAAATTTCTTCCTTTGATTTTTGTGATGTTTATAATATTGCTAAAAATAAAGTGTAATATTTTATTGAACGTCTAAAAGAGAAGAATAAAGATTATGGCAAAATTAGAAGAATATTTATATTGAAGAATATTTATACTAGCCTTTTCAAAGAATCAAGTTCATCGATGGTACTCGTATTTTGAGCGACATCATTTTAAAAAAATTACAAAATGATATGGAGCAAATTTTCAATTTATTATTATTGCGTTATTTTGAACGTAATTACAATTTTATACGGAGTATATTTCTATATTGCACAAAATTTAGGTAACATCAATGAAGTTTACCCTCTTTTCACAAGGAGGTGGAAGGTAATAGCTAGACATATAAGTTTAGGGTTGTGCTTTAGGATTTTTTTAACTAGTGGGTTCTACGGCCACTCAAAAAGAAACGAGACACCTACGTTACCCCGTTCACAAAATACCCACTAACTCTTGGTAAACTCTAACCGGTCCCGACCTCAACTCATTATCAACCACATCGATTGCTGATTGCAAGTTTAGTTGACTTTGAAATCAAATTTTTTGACTTTGGAGTCAAAAATTTTAAAAGTAAAATTTAAAAAGGAAATAAATGAGCAAATAAGCAAAAGTGGATTAAATTAAACCTTAATAAAGATTTCAGTCAAGTGACAACAACAAACTAAGGCCAATAATACTCCAATATAAGGCTAATAACATCCAAAACACTTCCCTCAAAAAAAAAACATCCAAAACACAAACACTAATAATAGTAATTAATAATGCAAACATTACAACTTAATTGCTCTAAATTAATTAATCTCTTCTTCCTTAGCTTCTTCAAACAGAGCTTAGCCTTTCAACCAATGAGATGCTTTTTGCAGTGAGTCTGGTTATAGTGCTTAAAGAAGAACGGGCCGACGGTGAAGCGGGGATACGACAGCGTTTTGTTCTCGGGCCGGTGGAAGTTCAGCGGCGCCCCGGCCCGGCCCAGGTTGTGATTCGTGGGCACGTTGCACTTGCGGTGCGGCGAAGAGACCAGAGACACCCTGCACTTGTGCCACCCCGCTGACGTCACTATCCTCGGCTTCAACAAGAAATACCCCTTCTCGTCCGTCTCTGTCCTCTCCTCCATCTCCTTCTTCGTGTTCTTGCACTCTAATTTCACCACAGCCCCTGCAAATTTTAAAAAAAACCCACAAAATCTGTTAATTTTCCCTATTTGGGGGGATCTCACTGTGTTAATTTCAGTAAAGTTTGAATCTTGGGGTCAGAAATTATGGAAGAATGAGTAAAGAACTCACCTTTGATGGGAATGGTGGAGTTCTTGCAAGATTTGCAGAAAACGCTGCCGCAGACTGCGATGGGTTGTTTTCTTTGGGATGGTGGAGGGATGAGGGCATGCGGTGGCGCGGAGTGGTGGTGGGGAGTTGTGGGTGCCGG